GGATGCAGAGAAATAGGAACACTTTTACACTGTTGGTGGGAGTGTAAATTAGTTCAACCATTGTGGAAGACAGTGTGGCGATTCCTCAAGGACCTAGAAATAGAAATTCCATTTGACTCAGCAATCCGTTACTGGGTATATATCCGAAGAATTATAAATCATTCTATTGTAAAGACACATGCACAGGCATGTTCATTGCAGCACTGTTTTCAATAGCAAAGACCTGGAACCAACCCAAATGCCCATCAATGATAGACTGAACAGGGAAAATGTGGCACATATACACCATGGAATACTATGCAGCCATCAAAAACGATGGGTTCGTGTCCTTTGTAGGGACATGGATGAACCTGGAAAGCATCATTCTCAGCAAATTGACACAAGAACAGAAAATCAAACAATGCATGTTCTCACTCATACGTGGGTGTTGAACAATGAGAACACATGGACACAGAGAGTGGAGCATCACACACTGGGGTCTGGTGGGGCGGACTATGGGGGAGACAGCGGGGGCTAGGGAGTTGGGGTGGGATAACATGGGGAGAAATGCCAGATATAGGTGATGGGGATGGAGGCAGCAAACCACATTGCCATGTATGTACTTATGCAACAATCCTGCATGTTCTTCACATGTACCCCAGGACCTAAAGTGCAATAAAATATATTTAAAAAAAAGATAAACAGTTCTTCCCAGGTGTCTCCTTCACCAGATACCACCCCTTTGATTATGGTCAAGAGTTTTCTACCACTGGGAAGTAGGGTTTGAATCTAGCAGCCAGAGCTAGGCCCTCTGGACCTCATCTCCCTAGGGGGCCTCAGCCCTGCTGGCTAGAGCAAACAAGCTCCCAGAACTCCAGCCTCCAAGGATTCACATCTGAACCTGTTTCTCACTAATTCAGCATACTACCACAGAGAATAAAAACAGTAGCATGTGGTCGTCACTCTCAGTGAGCCACAGCCCAGTGATGCCTCACTACTATGGCCAGAGGGCATGGATTCAAACAACTGTGATGAATGTCATGGCCATTCCTAGAGTTCCATTACCTGAATATTTCCCACTTTGTAATATGTTCATAACCTGAGTTATTACAAACTGATTTACAAATTCTGTCGATGTAAAAGTCTAATACATGAGTAATATGTGTTAAATACTGGTAAACCTAGAGTTTATAGTACTCATTTTAATAGAAATTTTCATTGTCACTTAGGCACGAGATCGGGTGAAGAATGGTCTCACCAAGCTACTAGAAACAAACGTACTAGTAGATAAAATGAAATTAGATCTTTCAGCTTTAGAGCCTGTGCTTTTAAAAAAGTCACAAGATGTTGAAGCCCTGATGGAAAAATTGGCAGTGGATCAAGAAAGTGCTGATCAGGTATGCTGCATTTCCTGAGAATGTAGGAAAAGCTTCAGTCAGCAACTCATCGCTTATGTGCAATGAGACAGGATTGGATTATTTTATTACCTATGCCATTAAAATAATTAAGTGATAGATTTAGCAAAGATTTTTTTAGCAATTTAGCAATGCTTTTAAGTTATAAAAAATCTCCCTTTACTAAATCAGCTTGACTCTGTCCCCAAGAATTGTTGCAGCCCAATGAATGGGACAGAGAATTATGAGAAAAGCACCATCTACAAATATACAGCAGCTATTCTGGCCAGGTACGGTGGCTCACGCCTGTAATCCCAGCACTTTGGGAGGCTGAGGCGGGCAGATCATGAGGTCAAGAGATCGAGACCATCCTGGCCAACATGGTGAAACCCCATCTCTACTAAAAAATACAAAAATTAGCTGGGCATGGTGGCGTCTGCTTGTAGTCCCAGCTACTAGGGAGGCTGAGGCAGGAGAATTGCTTGAACCCAGAAGGCGGAGATTGCAGTGAGCTGAGATTGCGCCACTGTACTCCAACCTCGCACCTGGTGACAGAACAAGACTCTGTCTCAAAAAATAAAAAATAAAGCAGCTATTCCTCTCCTAAGATGGAACTGTTATGATAAGTTTATATTCATTATGCTATCAACATGGCATAGATGGACAAAGGAGAGCATAACATGCAATCTGGCTAATTCCCTATCATTGTTACTCTAATCCAAAGGGCAAATATGACTCATTATTATTGGTTTTGTTTTAAATATTAAAATTCAAATGATGAGACCACTTAGCAGTCATGTTTCAATGGTTAGGTCCGTAACACGGTGCAGGAGGATGAAGCAATAGCAAAAGTCAAAGCTGAAGAAACCCAAGCAATAGCTGATGATGCTCAAAGAGATCTTGATGAGGCATTACCCGCACTTGATGCTGCCAACAAAGCACTGGATTCCTTAGATAAGGCAGATATATCTGAAATCAGAGTTTTTACAAAGCCCCCAGATTTGGTCATGACCGTAATGGAAGCAATCTCCATTCTCTTGAATGCCAAGTGAGTAATTCAGAATCATGTATTGCCACGATACCTGGTGAGAGTTCTTTACTGTTTTCCTTCATGTTAATTCATCTCTTCATTCCCTTCTCCACCCCCTCATTGTTTCAGTTCGTCATTCAATAAATTGATTCAAGGAGTATTTTCTTCCCCAACATCTATTTTGTGCTAGATGATGGAAGATAAGTTTTCCTCTACGATATATACACAGGCTAGTGGGAAGATAGATATGAAAACTAGTAATTTCATTACAATGTGAGAGTTATATAGTATTGGGAGTGCTGAGAAAAGAGTGCCTAAGTCCAGCTGGGGATATGCAAGCAGGTTTTTTGGAAAGTGATGCTCAGTGGCACCATAGACAAGTCAGGAATGAGCTTTGACATTCTTGGAATGTGATGGGGCTGGGCAGGAGGCCAGTGATTACATCATGAAAGGTCTTGAATGCTGCACTTGACACTTCAGATTTCATCTTGGAGAGATGTAGTTTTCAAACTTTCTTTAGCAATACAAACTTTTTTTAAATAAAATTATGTTATATGAACCTTTCTATGTAAAACTGAGCAAAGGGCTTAGACCACCACACCACCACCAGGCCTCCAGGAGACAGGGTGGAGAGGTCACCACTGACTCTTAAACTGATACCTCGGTAGGGCCCTTAGAGCTCCGCAGAGCACAGATAGAGAGCTGTGGGCAGAAGAGACTGATAATCGTTGAACATTTATTACCTAATCAGATTTTCATGGTAGAAAGATCAATCTGGCAAAAGTTTAGAAGAGCAAAGTTCAAAGAGACATAAAGCCCAGTTAGAAGGTAACTGCAGTGTCCTGGCAGGAGATTTTAAGGGTGGGAACAATAACAAAGGAGGTAAAATGTGAGTGCCTACAGCATTTTAAAAATAAAACTATTGTTTCTACAATGCCTTACATTTCTAAAACTCCACAATTTTATAATTCTTTCTCTACCAAAGCTGAGTTGCATGGAACTACCTTGGACACCCATTTTCATTTTGCCCCATGAATCAATTGTGGTGCAGCTAACTACCAATTACCAGAATTATAGTACCAAGATTAAAACTACCTACTTATTGGGATAATATAATAATTCTCAAAGGAATACATTTTTTCATTCTTACATTACTTAATTCCAGTGCTATAATTTATCATGTCTGTCTTTCAGGCCCGACTGGCCGTCAGCAAAGCAACTTCTTGGTGACTCAAACTTTCTAAAAAGGCTTTTAGAATACGATAAGGAGAACATAAAGCCTCAGATATTGGCAAAGCTTCAAAAATATATTAATAATCCTGATTTTGTGCCTGAAAAAGTGGAGAAAGTGTCCAAAGCATGTAAATCTATGTGCATGTGGGTAAGAGCTATGGATTTGTACTCTCGAGTGGTCAAGGAAGTCGAACCGAAAAGACAAAAGCTCCGTGCCGCACAGGTACATTGTCCAGATTGTGATATTTTATAGAATTGAAGGCCATTATCGCCGATCATTCAAGTTCTCTATATAATGTTACTGTGGTCCTACACAATATAGACAGTGACAAAAACTTTTGGAAATTAGCTTTTGTTTTAAACGAGAGCTGGCAATATTCTTTCAGACATTACCTCTGAAATCAGCCTTCTTTCAGCCTAAGAGGAACATGAGTTCCTCAGTATATTCATCTGAGAAAAGGGAATTAGGTATATTATTTGTTAAGGTACTTTTTAGCTCAAGCATCTGATGGTCTGTATTTCCATTTGCTAAATACTTCCACGCTTGATGGTGTCATCTGAGGTTTTAAAACCAGCTTGACCCTGCCATCAGATGTGAGGCCCTTCATCTTCCCAAGAAGAAAAAAGAATGATCATTTAGTAGACAGGTTGCTGAAAAGAACTGTGGCTATAGAGCAGGGATTGGCAAACTTTTTCTAGAAAGACCCAGATGTTAGTAAGTATGTTATGCATTGCATGCTATGTGGTCTCTGCTGCGAGCACTCAGGTCTGCTGTTGCAGCACAAAAACAGTCATTGACAGTATATAAATGAATAAGCATGACTGTGTTCCAATATAACTTTATTGATACTGGAATTCAAATTTCACACAATTATCACATTTCACAAAATATTATTCTTTTAAAAATTTTTCTAATTATTTAAAAATGTAAAAACCATTGTTAGCTTGTAGACTGTACAAAAACAGGCAGCAGGCTATATGTGACCTGCAGGCCATAGTTTGCAGATCTCTGATGTGGATATCTAGTTAGGAAATATTAATTTCCACTATTGCATGAATATTTAATTTGTTGCATCATTTAAAATTAATAATCCATTGTGGTAACTGATTCATCCTAAATGCTTGGTACACCTGTTTCTTTATTATGATTTATTTTGTTGGGCCTTTTTATTGATTTTGTTTTGTTTTATTTACTCCTGTTCTGGTATTTTACTTTAATTTATATCTGTTTAAACTTTATATATCATATCAAAGTCTTTTTGGACCTGAAAAGAGGAACATATGTAAATTTTTTAAGATCTGTATTATTAATGGGCAAATTCAGCCTTCTTTGGGGGCCTTTTCTTAAACAGTTGCTTGATTTTATTAGGCTGAACTTGACATTACCATGGCTACCCTGAGAGAAAAGCAAGCATTACTAAGACAAGTGGAAAATCAAATAAAGGCCTTACAAGATGAATATGACAGAAGTATAAATGAAAAAGAAGGTCTGGGTAAGTAACTCAGAATTTACATTGGCCAGGAAATGTCTGATTTTCAAAAGTAGCAAGAACTTTTAGGCAGTCAGATTTCAGCGTTTATCCAACATATACAATGTATTTCCATTAGCCTTCTAGTATCAGAGAAGAACTCATATGTTTTATGTATTCAGCATCCTTCACCTGAACAAGCCTTACTGGAGCGTGTTACATTAAAACACAAAATAGTGTGTGAATTTGATCCAGAAACTAAATACTAAAAGGGCATAGAAAGCACTGTCTTCAGCCAGAGTAATAGAATATCAAAAAAGAGCTCTCAATATGGAAGAGGCAAACTTAGAATTGGTTCTGAAATGGGAGTGAATGCTGAATTGGTGTGAGGTTTCATAGAGATGTATTGACATCATTGGCTGAATAATACTAATTCTGCTATAAAAGAAGCAGGTAAATAAACTTTTAATATTTTACAAAAATATTGAATAATATAATCTGATTTTCTTAAAATTTTCTAGCAAAGACCATGGCCCTGACAAAAGCACGTCTAGTACGTGCTGGAAAGCTGACGGCTGCATTAGAAGATGAGCAGGTTCGATGGGAAGAAAGCATACAGAAGTTTGAGGAAGAAATATCAAATATCACTGGGAACGTGTTTATAGCAGCAGCTTGTGTGGCCTACTATGGGGCTTTCACAGCCCAGTACAGGCAGTCAGTGAGTAACCCTACTTTCTGTAAGGAGGATAGGAAGAAGCTGAAACTGGAACCGGGGCTGGTTTATTTTTCTGAGTTCAGATGGAGGCTGTCCACTATAGAGGTTCTTCATGGCAGAATTTCTTTATATATTTCAACCCTCCATTCCCCCTTCAGCCAGTGATGGTCTACCCCTAGACTTTCCTTAACACATTCCTCCCTTTCCTTCTCTTGTCTTAGAAAGCTATTCATATTCATCATTTACACAACTCAGAAACCTGGGGGAAGGAAAAGGGACAGTGAGTCCCCCCACCTTGTGATCAGAAGTGGTATGTAAAGCCAGCCTGGATGAGATGTTCTCAATTGGTGAAGCTGCAACAGAGGGCCAGTCAACTGAAGGCGGAAGGCAGGACAGGAGGAATCTGTGCTTCCTTAGGCTTTTATCTCTATAAGAAAGAAGGCCTCTCATTTATCAGAGAATAAAAGTCTCATCTACATGCATTTTCCAGGAAATGAAATTATTTGAATGGATTTTACAGTCATTTGTTTTGATGTGTCTTCCTGAAAATGTTTACTCTTGTCCTTGAGTTATAAAACCTAATATAGGACTCTCATATAGAGTCTCCAGGAGCTCTAAGGTCTTAGGTTGCCATATTTCTCACTGGAGCCAATTATGCATTTTGGGACAGACAGCTTTCTGTTGTGTATGACTGCACCACTCATTGAAGGAGGTCAGATGCTAACACCCCTTTCCCTCATCTACTGATTGCTTGTACACCCTCAGTGATTGTGATAACCCCAAACTTCTCCACATGCTTTCACAGTCTCCCAACAGGGAAAATACAAACCTGGTTGAAAACCCAGTCATTTACACAAGACAACTGAGGTCCAAATGGGGGAATGGTGTTTCCAAAGTCACATCTAACTAATGGTATAGTTAGAGTACCTAGATCTGCTGATTTTAGTCTACTTCTTGTGTCCCATGCTCTGATGCCAGCATGCCTGTGGAGACAGGGAGGGCTTATCTCTTCAGGCACTGACTTACCCATCACATTTTGCATGTGCCCTCGTTTACTGATTGTTCCTGACTCTACTCAAGTAAGCCTTCCCCCTTCTACAGCTCATAGAGTGTTGGATCCAGGACTGTCAGTCTCTGGAGATCCCAATCGACCCTTCCTTCAGTCTCATTAGCATTCTTGGAGATCCCTATGAGATACGGCAGTGGAACACTGATGGGCTGCCCCGTGACTTGACATCAACAGAAAACGGCATTTTGGTTACTCAAGGCAGACGATGGCCTTTGATGATTGATCCTCAAGATCAGGTGTGTAGCAAATGCTTACAAGAGTGGTCTTTTGGTTCTGCTTAATGTTGAGCTATCTCATAAAAATTATAAAAGTGGACTTTAATATACGTGGAGACTTAAGATTTAACATACATGGAGATTTAGACCCAGAAGAGAGTATAAAAGTCCTATAATCCAAGTCCTTCATTTTGTGGGTGAGAAACTAAGAAAGAAAGAGTTGAAGTGATCTCATACTTGATTTTGATTTATTTTGTTTAGGGGACTGACCATTCGTATTTTGTTTAGGGGACTGACCATTCGTTTTTTGTTTTCTGTGAGGACAGAAATCCACAGGTTCTCATTCTTTTGTAGTCCTTGTTCCTAAAAGGCCTGAGGAATGAGAATGAAGTCAGAGTATGATAGAATTTTAGGCCAAGCCTGACTGGAATTTACAATCCCCAGCATCCTTTTCTGACTCCCTAAGTTCATGGATCAGATCATACTAAATAGAGTTCGGAAAAGGGAGGCACCATGGAAGCAAGGGAGACAAACTTGAATACCATAGGCATGACCTCTGTTCCCAGATGACTCTTTTCTTGACTTGTTCCAAATCTGAACAAAGAGAACAGTCCCAAACATTGGGCTTAAAAGATGTCTTTATTGCCAGGGGCAGTAGGGGCAGTATAGTATACATATTTCAGATTTGTTTCTAGATTGAATAATATTTCCACACTTTTAAAGCTTTTGCTTTCTAGCCATTTATTATGCTCTGAAGCAAATATTCTGCTCTGTGTTTTTCCAAACAGGCAAACCGTTGGATAAGGAACAAGGAAAGCAAAAGTGGTTTGAAGATCATTAAGCTTACAGATAGTAATTTCTTACGAATACTCGAGAATTCAATCCGACTTGGTTTACCTGTCTTACTGGAAGAGGTTTGCTTTTCACTGCCTTTTCTCATGTTAGTTCCCAACTTTCAAGTCATAAATGGAATCCTATACAGGCCACATCCCCTCATGCTAAAAACACCAGGCAACTCCATTTTCAAATTGGTAATAATACATTATCATATTGCAAGGGGAGTGGGAGGGAGGATCTGTTGACTTTCAGACATGGTTTTGGTGTTAAGAGGGCTGATCTCTGTTTCCTGACACTGCTATTTCACAGGCCTCATTATGGTCCTTGATGGTGAGCTTCTCTGAAAATTCACAACAGTAGTGCAGTTCAGGATTATGTACCTACACTAATGACGTAAAGCCAGTAAAATATTCTAGAGGGTATAAACATTATGCTTTACCTGGGCATAGCTCAGAATTGGATTAAGTGAATTAGATAAGAATGAACTTTTGTTTAAAAAAAAAGAAAGAAAGAGAAAAGGGAAGGCAGTGTTGTTTGTTGAGTCTAGGTGCTCCATTTCTTTGGCTATCATTGCAAGAATGGATGTTTTTTAAACTGTTCCCTCATTGCAACATTATTTGAGAAACAGTGGCAAACAATATAGATATGGTTTCTATCCTCAATAGCTTACAATTGAGGTGGGGTCAGAGATAGTAGACAGAGAAAGAAAAAGAGAAGAAATGAGAGAGAGGGAGAGAAAGAGAACTTGTGATGAGAGCTTTGAAAGGGCAAAAGGAGGCGGCTGGGATAGGCACCAAGCGATAGACCACCAAGGCTGGTCTGACTTAGATATGTGTCTAAAGGGAGTAATTTAAGCTGTAACCTATGTGATGAGCTCAGCCATATGACAGGCTTAGAGAGAAGGGCTTACCAGGCAAAGGGAACAGCATGTGCAAAGGCCCTGGGCACAAAAGAAATTGGTTAATTTTCCTATAAGTAAGAAAAAAATGAATGAACAAAAGCATGGGCTATGAGTTAAGTCTCAGTTTAACCATGCCTAGAAGTATCTCTGCTTCAGCAGAAAGACGGAAAGCTCAAAAAGACCATGGACCAGGGCAGTTTAGCTGCAGCAGCTGCATGATGACTAGGAATTGTAATTAATATGTTAGCATTAACTAATATTTGTTGCATGTTCACTCCATGCCAGACTCTGTTCTCAGTGTTTTATGTATATTAACTCATTGATCCTCACTGCCACGTCTCAAGATAGTTATTATTGTTATCCCATTTTGTCAATGAAGAAACTGAGGCCTAGAAGGCTCATATAAATTATCCAATCAGCCTTGCCTGCCTAGGAAATCCACAAGCTACACTCTTTCCGACTCAAGCCACAAAGAGCACAAAATGCCTCAGGGCGACCAAGCTTGGCCTTGACCAACACAAGGGTGGTTCTGTAATGGATCCCAGTCACAGGAGAGGGTAAAGTCTTTGGAAATCTTTGGCACAGGTATTTTAGCCCCAAACTGGACTCCTGAACTCAGGTTTACTTCACGACACAGGAGATCCAGAGGGACTTTCCTCTTTCATGGCAGCAGACAAAAGGTTTTCTGTGATGTTCGGCCTCTGGATGGAAGAGTCTTCTAACTATAGCAGAGTGCTCTTGGGAGAAGGGGTGGGCCCTTGTCAGGGCTCCGGCCAGAAACGGGACACTCTAACCAGTTCTTCCCGACTTTCTGTGCCTTAGGGTCATCAGCATTATACCCCTAGCTGCTTTCTACATCTGCTAGAGTGGTATATTCAAACTTTGTCTCCACCCATTCATGGGTATGAAATCAGTTTAGACCATCTCAATCAACATATTCAAATGAAATAGAATTTTTTTAACCCAAAATTATATTGAATACAGGTAAATCTTATCTCATAAACTTTTGTTTGAAGAATTTACATGTATGGGTACCATGTCACAATGTGAAATTTCTTACTATCGATGACAGTCAAATATTGAAAGTCCCTGAGCCATGGGACCCCCATGTTTCTGATAGGATCCCTGGGCAATGTCTGCATACCCACATTCCTACTAACAGTCAGATTCACTTTGAGGAAAAAGACATAACTATCATGTAGAATAGGCATTCACAGACACTTTTTCTGTAGAAAGCCAGGGAGTAAATATTTCAGTTTTTGCAGGCTTCCTGCAGTCTCTGTGCATAATCTTTTTTGTTTTGGTTCGTGTTTTTTTGTTTATATGTTTTTACAATCCTTAAAAAAGGTAAAAAAAAAACATTCATAGCTCAAGAGTCATAGAAAAACGGCCACACAGGGCCAGATTTGGCCTGCAGGCTGTCAACTGCCAGTCCCTGGTTTTAAACAACCGTGAAAATGAACAGATCTTCATTTGTATGGGGCTTGTTGAAGTCCAACCTGCAGTTACTTAATCTACCCAGCTTCTCTCTTCTTCTCATGGAAATGAATAGTGTATAATATTAATCTAAATAGATGTATTGCCTTCAGATGCTCTTATTTCCTTAGATTGCTAATAAAGTGCTCACTGGAAAATAGGTACTTTTAGAGGTAGTGTGAGGATGTTAATAAATATCCATCAGATCACTGAAAAATTGTTCATTCACAGTACGTTTTGAAGCCTAAGGAATTTTGTGAAGTTGATGCTATCCATTTTAATTGCTTCTTTTTGTATTGTCCTGTTTTAATTTCTAAGCTTAAGGAAACCTTGGATCCAGCTCTAGAACCCATCCTTTTGAAACAAATTTTTATCAGTGGTGGCCGGCTACTTATCCATCTTGGAGACTCAGACATTGATTATGACAAAAACTTTAGGTTCTATATGACAACCAAACTGCCAAATCCCCACTATCTGCCTGAGGTATGAACTGCTGGTCTGGAATTCTCAACTGTTTATCATGATATGATGAGTCTGAAGTTTGATGGGCTCCCACCTGGAAGGAAAGCTCTTCCCCATTCTGCCTTATCTCCTATACACATCCTCCATTCTTGCTTCTCTTCTGAGTTTTTATTCTGATTCCAATCACCCTTGTCATCACCATATAGTTAGGTTGCAAGCCCCTGCCCACCGGGTCCCGGGCCAATGCTCTGTCTCTCCCCACTTCGCACCTCTCCAGTGCCCTTGCCATCTCCCTCCTGGTCCACGGGCTCTCCTAAACACAAGGCACCTCCCTTCTAAACTCTCTCTTCCCTCCATTGACAAAGACTGCTTTGTTCCTGTTATTATGACTAATAAATGAATCAGAGCTTAATTGAGAGTCCATGGAGCTGGGGTGAAGGGAGGAGGAGGTGTCATTGTTTAAATGTGCAAATGCCCACAGCATATGTGCCCAAATAAAGAGGTCATCCATTTGGAAACTCTAGGGCAAGACAACATTAGAGAATCATGATCCAGTGGTCCAATATCAATACTTAGAGTTACAGGCGGTGGAGGCATCTTGTCCCCTTCTCATACTCTTAGATTCTTTGAGAGGAACTGTGTGAGCTCCACTCCCTACACATGTCCCTGAGACTCAGTAGACTCTAGAAGAACCCCCTTCTCTAGTACCACAATGTCCAAGATAGGTGCAACAGAAATGAAAGCAGCTGGGAATCCATTGCCCCTCCCACAGAGCTCACACAAGGCTCCACCTGGCCACAACTCCCATCCCACATGCCCAGGTACTGCCCCAGCTCCAGGCACATCTGCACACTCTGCAGGCTCTTACCTAGACAAGGAACTTGACCTCAGAACTTTACTTCTTCACAACCACCACCCTCCCAAAAATATCCTTTCCAAAGAGTGTCACTCCATTCCATTCCAAATATATATTCCATTCCAAGGAGTGTCATTTTCCAAAGACTGACACACACATACACACACACACACACACACACACACACACACACACACACACACACACACACACACACACACACACACACACACATATATATATATGTCACTCTGTTTCCAATACACCATGCCAAAGAGAGTCACTTTCATTTTAGCTATTGAATTGCTCATAGCTATTTGTCTTCACCAGATGTGTTCAGGTTGAATGAAATTGGCACATTTCTTGAATAAGATGGGGAAATATCATTGAAAGTTTAAGTTAGGATTTTCCTTGTCAGCCTCGAGGAGTTTAATTACACAGCCACTGCCAGGGCTCATGACCCAAGTCCCATTTCAGAGTTTAGAAAAGTGGCCAACATTACCAGAGGCTGGGAAGAAGAATGGAGAGGGGCAGTAAGGTAGGGATAGTTAATGGAGACAAAAATATAATTAGATAGAAAAAATAAGATTTAGCATATAATAGTACAACAGAATGACTACAGTCAACAATAATGTATTGTACATTTTAAAATAACTAAAAGAGCATCATTAGAATGTTTTTAACTCAAAGATGATAAATGCTTGAGGTGATAGAGACCACCCCCAAAAAAGAACTGTAACCAACATGCCAGCTTTCAATGTATGATTTCTCACTTATTTAACTTTTGAGAGGTTATATTGCCCACAAGACCCAAGCCTAGCTCTGTGACAGGGGGCAAATTATCCCATCCAGGATCCTCAAGTCAATCATCTCTAAAAGGAGATCAATTCTACTTCAAGGATTTTGTAATATGGTAAATATTATAAAATTACAATATGTAATACATATTACAAAATCCTTCAGATGCAATGTGTTCATTCACACACTCTTGTTATACTTACTAGTTTTTGCTATCGACTTATCAAGTGATGTCAGAATATATTATAGTAATATTTTTATTAAAATATTAGACAAAGCATGTAAAGTTTTATTTATCAATAATAGCTTCTTTCAAGCAAAGACACGTTGTGTCATAAGTAACTAAGTCATTTTATTACCTCATTTAGTTCTCTCAGCTACCCTATGAGTTGTTAATATAATTATCCAAATTTTTAAATATCAGAAACTAAAGCTTAGCACAAATGAGTGCCTCATCCAAGATTACAGTCACTAAAGGGTGCAGCTCAAATTTGAAGCCAAGCCATTGATTCCAAAATACTGCTTTTCATCCTCTGCTGGCTCACCTTTCTGTAAAACACCATGTAGGATTCTATAACTGGTGTTTGAGGAACGAGATTGTAACTCATACTGGCAGGGAAAAACATATAAGGATTTTATAAGCCACATTACACCTGAAGTATGTGTGGGGGTAAGTGTGTGTGCACTTAGACCTGGGCTACATCTACCTGGGTAGTAATGAGCTGTGTTCTAATAAAGAAAGGTATTATATTAGTTTGCACTTAAGCGTTTTTATGCACTCTGTGCTTCTCTTCCAGGTATGCATTAAAGTTACCATTATCAATTTCACTGTGACAAAATCAGGTCTGGAGGATCAGCTGTTAAGGTAAAAAAAAAAAAAAAATGGAAACTGGGGGGAGGGAAGGGGATGTCATGGGTTTCCTAAATATTTTGTTTGGAAATATTGACAAAGAAAATTTTCTGCTGTGTAAAAGTACTATACATGAACGCTTAATCAAAAAAAATACAAGTAAACGGCCAAGTTCTTTACCATTTCTGTAGCTGCTCATGGCAGCTGATCTTGCCCACTGTCTTCTCAAGGACAACAAGGATAGACCCTTAATTCCCCCCGACTGTTAGGGCCAGGCTGGCAGCTGCGCCCTGCCTCTTCCCTTCACTAGGATTTCTAGCTTGAGCAAGTGAATAAACTCAGTCTTTCTGTTGTTCCTAGAAATGCACTGGTCCATACCTGTGAAGAAGCAGCTACTCCAAATACATTTGTTCCTGCTTCACTGGTCTTTAGGTGTTTTCTTAGTGTATTTAATTGTCTACTTCAAATATATATATATAATATACACATAATATATATAATATACACATTAAATATATAATATACACATATATATACATATATATATTTATCCTTTCTAAGTGTACTCTGTGTGTGATTAAATGCCTATTTCCTGAATATTGGATTATGAGTTGTTAATATTAATCATCAGAATTAGCCAAGAGGTTCAGGAGACAAACTTTTAAAATATTTATTAAAATAATAGCATTGAGGTTGATTCAAAATTAATTTTATGTTTAATATGTATTTAACCAACGCATATGTACACATATGTATGTATATAGGAATACATATGTATGTATTTTCATTCACTCTAAAGAAACATATAATTTAGACCCATTTTCAAAAGAAGTATCTCTTATATTCAAGTCAAGATCATCCTGACTTACCCTTGTTGTCACTAATAAGCTTAAGTCTTATTTCTCTAGTTTGTTTTAGGAATTATTCTGCCAGCTACTAACTTGCTTACCTTCCACTAGGTTAACTTCTTTCCAATTAAAAGTTATTTCACCATATTTTATGAATTTGTTGTAAGGACTTGGCTGAACATTTTGCATACCAGTTTATTCTTGTGCATAATTAAGCTCAGCTATGTCACTAAGCTGCCAGCATGTTAGGCTGCCTGGGACAAGAAGGAGAAGTGCCCTGATCAGAGCATGGGAAATGCTGGGACTCAGTCATGGAGTGCGTAATCTCCCTGCTATTTCTCCTAGATTGATGGCATTGAAAGAGGAAGCTAACAGCCCAAAGCCAGAGTGAGGATAGAGCTGGGTCTGCCTGTGTTCTGACAGGCATCACCTATTTCAGTTGTCCTCTACTCTGCTGAGCTCCTGGACAGGCAGAGATACTCATTATGCTTAGTTGCTCATTGCAGTTTTCCTCAGATCCTCTCAATTTTGAACACCACGGTTCACCTCCCTGCCTCCTGTAGAATGCCAATCACAATGCCTTAGTCCTTCTGGGACAGCACCATCTTTCTTTTTTTTTTTTTTTCTATTATATTTTAAGTTCTGGGGTACAGGTGCAGAACGTGCAGGTTTGTTACATAAGTATACACGTGCCATGGTGGTTTGCTGCATCCATCACCCCATCATCTACATTAGCTATTTCTCCTAATGCTATCCCTTCCCTAGCCCCCCACCCCCTGACAGGCCACAGTGTGTGTGATGTTCCCCTCCCTGTGTCCATGTGTTCTCACTGTTCAATACCCACTTAGGGGTGAGAACATGCATTGTTTGGTTTTCTGTTCTTGTGTAAGTTTGCTGAAAATGATAGTTTCCAGGTTCATCCATGTCCCTGCCAAGGACATGAACTCATCCTTTTTTATGGCTTCATAATATTCCATGGTGTATCTATGCCACATTTTCTTTATCCAGCCTATCATTGATGGGCATTTCGGTTGGTTCCTATTGAAAACAGTGCAGCAATGAACATACCTGTGCATGTTTCTTTACAATAGAATGATTTATAATCCCTTGGATATATACCCAGTAATGGGATTGCTGGGTCATATGGTATTTCTATTTCTAGGTCCTTGAGGAATCGCCACACTGTCTTCCACAATGGTTGAACTAATTTACACTCCCACCAACAGTGTAAAAGTGCTCCTATTTCTCCATATCCTCTCCAGCATCTGTTGTCTCCAGATTTTTTAATGATCACCATTCTAACTGGTGTGAGATGGTATCTCGATGTGGTTTTGATGTACATTTCTCTAATGACCAGTGATGATGAGCATTTTTTCATATGTTTGTTGGCCTCATATATGTCTTCTTTTGAAAAGTGTTCATATCCTTCACCCACTTTTTGATAGGATTGTTTGGTTTTTTTTCTTGTAAAATTGGGTAAGTTCTTTGTAGATTCTGGATATTAGGCCTTTGTCATATGGGTAGACTGCAAAAAAATTTTTCCCATTCTCTTGGTTGCCAGTTCACTCTAATGATAGTTTCTTTTGCTATGCAGAAGCTCTTTAGTTTAATTAGATCTCATATGTCTATTTTGGCTTTTCTTATCATTGCTTTTGGTGATTTAGTCATGAAGTCCTTGCCCATGCCTATGTCCTGAATGGTATTGCCTGGGTTTTCTTCTAGGGTTTTTATGGTGTTGGTGCTTATGTTTAAATCTTTAATACAAGGTCATTTTTCAACTTCAGGGAATTCCATTCAACCACTCAGATAGTCCACCCTCTTCTGTCTTCCTTTCTGTTTCCAGAAACTCTAACTTATCTCGTAGACTTTCTTGGCAGGCCTTTTTGATTCTTAACTTGACTAATTTGATTATTCTTTCTCTCAAGCTGTTTCCTGAGCTCACCTTTATCTTAAAAATCCTTTAAACCCCTCTCTTAGGAAAAACTTATTTAAACAGTTGTATTTCAGGTTATGATTTTTAATATTCTTTATATAATAATTTCAAGGTATCTGAATTCAGCATGAACATAATGAGTAAATAATGGGCTGTTACTTGAGGCAGCATACTAGTAACAGCACATGCTCTGGAGCCAGCAGACCCAGGTACAAGCCCACCTTGGCCTCTCATAGCCATGTGATCTTAGGAAGTGACTCACTAGAGTCTGTTTGTTCATCTGCAAGCTGGGGGTGATAACCACACTGCCCACCTTAGAGGAGCATTCAAAGGATTAATAGATAATCCACATAAAACTCTCAGCAAGGTGTGTGGCATAGAGTAGTGTTTAATAAAGGTTAACTCTCACAAATGGAGACTGGGAGCAAATTATGAAAGAACAAGTGAAGGGAGATATAAGTTCACATGTTTCTACAGGGAGAAGCTGGAGGTAAGGCTCCTTTTTCATACGCAATCAAAAATCATTTCATGGAGGTGGCGTGATTTCAGAATCTCCCATGTTGGTACAGAAAGACCATCCCAGGCACCATAAACATTCCAGGCACCATTTTCATCTTGGCACAAACAAGTGTTAGAGACAGAAACTGAATTAGAGAGATCATGTGTTAAGCAGGTCTTCCTAAGAGATGAGCAGAAGGCATGGAAACTTCATAGCATGCATCTCTCAAATACAAAATGAAGAATCAGAACTGACATGTAGTTGAGTCACAAGCGATTATGTAAACCTAGCAAAAGAGACATGTTTTGCATTCAGATTCAGCTGTCAGCATTAATGCTCAGCTAAATAGTATTCAGAATAAGAATGCTTACAAACAGAGAAAGAAAAATAGAAGCAACTTTGGGGCAGAGACATAATTTAGGTATCTGAACTTTGGTTTTAGTGATGTGGTGCGACTTGAAAAACCCAAGTTGGAAGAACAAAGAATCAAGCTCATCGTGAGGATCAATGCTGATAAAAACCAGTTGAAAACTATCGAAGAAAAAATCCTGAGAATGCTCTTCACCTCTGAAGGAAATGTTCTGGACAATGAAGAACTTATTGACACACTCCAGGATTCAAAGGCAAGTAAAATATTTTTAGTATTTATAGAAAGTGTGTTACTTCAGAAGCTATAGCTACAGCCTTTGAGGGTCCTGCAAGAGCTTTTAAAGCAAGATGGGGGCCTCACCAGGCTTCCATGGACACACAAACAGGTGCCTGCATGTTGGGGCTCCTTGCCAATCAAAGAAACGTCGAAAAACTGTAAACCACTCCTCCTCTTGTCTTGTCTGCATTTCTTAAATAAAACACATAATGTAAAGAACTGGAACAAGATATAAATTGAAAGGAACAAAGACAGTAAACTTTTATATGAATGCCATCACCTGCAGGAAGCATCTCTCTGATATTCTCAGTGGAAATTAACTTCCTCCTCCTCAGAACTTCTACAGTGTCTTATCTGAAACTCTAGTACAGCACTTGTCACTGTTTACCCTATGTCACAACTATGCAATTACATGGCTTATCTCTTCTGTTAGGTTGTTAAGTTCTATGCAGTGGGAATCTGTGAATAGTTCATTTTGATATTCCTTCTCCAAGGATTGCACACAGTGGTTGCACACAGTTGTTACTCAACAAAAATGTGTTGATAGTAAGATGAAGTTTTACATTAAACTTCTTCAGTAAATTGTTTCTCAGATTCAAACCATGATTTAAGGAGTGTATACTAAGAACACAGCTTTCAAAATGATTTTCGTACATTTGTGAGAAACAAAATAATTTACTAAAAAATTTACTAACAAAAATCCCTTTGTCTTTATTAAGCCAGAAGCACATAGATTATGTTTTTTGCTTTTGTTGACCTAAAAACTGGTTGACTGCTTTATGTCGTACAGTCTCTTGAGATTGCAATATCAAAACAGTAATAAGCAAGTAATTTGGTGTCTCTGTTTTCTTCCTTTCTCCTTTAGCTTGTTTGTTCATAGGTCTCTTTATCCTCCTCTCATTCATTCTTCCTTGGGTTATTTATTTCTGGCAGTTCTCTGTTAACCAACTCTTTAAAGCATGAAACATTTCTACAAGGCTTATTGTGAAAAATAGCATTCCCTGCCTTCTCTTCCAGCCCATGCCTCCCTTCATAGAGGCAGCTTTCTTGATTTTATTGTTTTTTTGTTTTTTGTTTTGTTTTGAGACAGGGTCATGCTTGGTCACCCAGGCTGGAGGGCAGTGGCATGATCATGACTCACTGCAGCCTTAATCTCCTGGGCTCAACCCATCCTCCTGCCTCAGCTTCCTAAATATTGGGGACTACAAATGCATGCCACTAATACCCAAATAATTTTTCACTTTTTTATTTTTTGTAGAGACAGCATCTCACTATGTTGCCCAGGTTAGTCTCAAACTCCTAGCCCCAAGCAATCCTCCTGCCTTGGCCCTCCAAAGTGTTGGAATTACAGGAGTGAGCCACTGTGCCAGCCAAGGCAACTACTTTCATTTTGTGTCTCAACTGTTATCTACACCTGTAACATACACACACATCTTCCCATCCTCTGACCTCCCATTGTAGTTATATCCTGATTATAGCTGAACATTAAATGTTAACATTGCCTAAGGGTGAAGATCTGGCTGTAAGTATTTAGGGTCTGAGAGAAGAAGAAGGGCTAGGATCTCAGCAACCAGTGTGCATACAGTCACCCAGTCACTCTGTTTTAGTTCCTTCTTTCCATCAAAAAACTCTCTCTTTTACTTTCTCTAAAGGACATTTCTATTTTTTCGGCCAGAGTGAGAAAGGGACAGACCCCTGGCTATAGGTGGTGTGGGAAGATGACCTAGGGCATCTTATAACCAATTCTTATTTTAAACCTTTCCCACTTCCAAGAGTGCTTCTTGCTACTAATTCTTAACCCTTTGAGGAGGATTCTGTTTTGTAAATTGGGTGAGTTCATGGCTGTCCAGTTTTGCCAGCTTAGAAATTCATCTTTCTGGGTCTGCTAAGTCATTCCCACCCTTCTGTCTGTTTTCAAGCTCCAAAACTTCATTGATCTTTCCTCTCCCATTCTTCCTATCTTTATAGGTTTACACTGCATTTTTAAGCCCTTCCCTACAATTTTATTGTAGTTTCAGTAGGAAGTGAAGGTAGCTACACATGTGATGACTGCCATCTTTGTCTATAAGCTGGTTTATTTGTTTGCAAGGAGTTGCCTTGGAGTCATCCTTTCTATAGAGTAGGGATCAAACTGATTGATCCTTGGCTGCATTTCCTACCACTTCTTGGCTACAGTTACTACTCCTCTCAACTCTCAGAATCCTTACATAAAAATATTTCTTGTATTCTCTGAATACCGCTGAAACGTCAAATCTGTAGGGCATAATGTCTACAAGTAGTTGCCAAACTCAACGGAGGCATACAGTATTCTAATATTCCTTGGCAAAGAGAAGAAAATGTTCCACTTTCATTCTCTTTAGCCCTAGGTTCTACATTTTCAGTGTCTTGTGCTTCCCGAGACATAAAGAATTACTTGCTGGTGGGTCTCCATGATCCACTAGCTGCTCCCATATCAACTTCTTTTTCTCCTAGGATTTGAAAGCTTTAGTTGAGCCCTATATTGAGGCAGGGGTTTTCTACTCAACTCTGTCCTTTATTTCTCCTTCAGCTTCCAAAGGGGTTATTACAGGGAGAGTTTGAGCTTCTGATTCCTGAAAACAGCTTCTGCACTGAATCCTTCCCTTACCTTTCCTGGTGGGCTGGGGAAAACAGTCTAGACTTACCCTCTTCGTTATGGTAGATAGCCACTAGCCATAGGTGGCTGTTGAGCACTTTGAATATGGCTAGCCTGAATTAAAATGTGTTGTTAGTGTAAAATACACAACAGATTTCAAGGGCTAAATCCAAAGAAACAAAATATCTCAGGAATTTTTATGTGGTTTATATGCTGATATAATATTTTGAGTATATTAAAAAGTATATTATTAAAATTTAGAAAATACTAGAATTCGGTATATTAAAAATTGTATTATTAAAATTTAGAAAATATATGATTATATATGTGGCTTACATTATATTTCCATTGGAAAGCACTTGTCTAGACAGGAACTTGATGATTCCTTTTAGCTTTGACAGAGCAAATACTGAGCAGTGAGTTCCCTTGGTGATTTTTCATAGTCCCTGCTCTAATCTCTTTGACTTTCTAGAGACAAAAGGATCTACCAACCTAGGGATATCCACCTCTGAAAAGCAGTGGGAGAAGGGAGAGGAGGCAGGGACAGACAGCAATAGAAAGAGAGAGGCTAGGAGACAATCCAAGATGGCCGAATAGGAACAGCTCTGGAGTGCAATTCCCAGTGAGAACACAGAGGATGAGTGATCACCACATTTCCGAATGAATTTTTACTGCCCATAAACAAGGAGATTCCTGGGAAGAAAAGTGCCACGAGTCTCTAGCACAGCTGTTTGAGCTGGTGCAGCAGGTCTCCACAAAAAAACACACATATCTGGGCACCTTTTAAACTGGCACCTGGAATGCCTAGGAGACAGAGTTGCCCATTCAACTGAAAAAAAGGAGGCTGAATTAGGGAGCCAGGTGATCTGGCTCGGCGGGTCCCACCTTCACAAAGACCAGCAATCTGAAACATTCTGGATTGAGAGTTTCACAGCAAGCACAGCTGGACCCAGGACAGTCCAGCTTTGTGGGGGAAAGGGCGTAAGGGCATCCACCATTACTGAGATAGTCCACCACTACCAAGGCAGTCCACCATTACCGAGGCAGTCCACCATTACCAAGGCAATTTGCCATTACCAAGGCAGTCTGCCATTACTGAGCAAGTCTGCCATTACAGAGACAGTTCTAACCATACCTCTGTAAACAAAACCACAAGGAAGTTCACACAGCAGGTGAGCAGAGCCCATGGCAGCTTGGCAATGCTTCTGCTGGCAGACTGTGACTGGGATACCTCCTTGCTGGGCAGAGCATCTCTGAAAAAAGGCAGCAGCACGTCAGGAACTTACAAATAAAGCCCCACATTCCCAGGAGAGAGCACCTGAGAGAAAAAGGCAGTTATGAGTTCCACTGCAGCAGACTTAAACATTACCTGCCCAGCAGCTCTGAATGGAACAACAGAGCTCATAGCTGAGCACTAGAGCTCCTGTAAGTTACAGACTCTCTCCTCAAGCAGCTCCCCAAGGCATATATCCAAAGAGACACCTCATAAAGGAGAGCTCAGGCTGACATCTTGCAGGTATCCTTCTGGGACAAAGATAATAGAAGAAACTGGCAGCAACCCTTACTGTTCTACAGACACCACAGGTGATCCCCAAGCAAGCAGGGTCTGGAGTGGACCTCCAGCAGTCCTACAGCAGAGGGGCTTGACTGTTAGAAGCAAAACTAAAAAACAGGAAGAAATAACTTCATCATCAACAAAAAGGACATCCACTCAGAGACCTCTTCCGAAAGTGACCAATTACAAAGACCACAGGTAGATAAATCCACAAAGATGTGAAGAAACCAGTGCAAAAAG